CCCCAAGCCCCAGAGAGCGATGCCGGCTCCGCCGCTTCAGTGGCCCTCACCCCACATCTCCGCTGCCTGCCCTCCTCAGAGGCCTTCATATCTGAGCCTCTTGTTCCTCAGGGTCCCACACAGCTCAGAGCAGCCCACCGTCCCCCGGCCACCCCTTCCTGCTCAGAATTTCCCTGTAGAAGTGAGTTCTGTTCACCTTTCAAGGTCTGCCTTGAGCGTGACCACTCTCTTGTTTATTCATCCTCTTGCTCTGCAGCATTCCAGGTCCAGAAAACGCTGCCACACGGTTAACGAATGGATACTTCCAGGAGACCAACCTGCCGTGCACCCCGAGACAGCAGCTCCTCGTGCGAGAGAAGAGGAACAGACTGGACAAGAGTTACTTACGCAACTTCGTGGCGGGCCTGGAGCCTGCTCGCTCTGAGGGCTCCCCAGATGCAGGCTCAGCCTGGCTGCCAGCCCTCCGGGGCAGGGTTCCCACTGCTGCGGGAGAGGAGATGCAGTAACCACCTGGCGCGATTGGATTAGGGGACCCCCCCCCCCCCCCCCCCCCCCCCCGCGTGAGACAGCAGGGAATGGAAATGAGTGATGTGGGCCAGTGTAAGAACAGCCTCAAAAGCTTCCTGATGAGAGCTGACACTTGGCCCCAATAACAGGAAGTACTCGGCTGTGGGCGCCATGGAGAGCGAAAGCCCTGCAGAGGAAGGTCAGCTGCTAGCACAGTTCTTGCACAGGAGGCCTGAAAATAGTGGGCAACTTTGGTGTCCGTTAGAGAATGGGGTGAGGGGATGGGTGTTTGAAAGCTTCAAAGACCAGCAGAGCCCTAACCGGTTTGGCTCAGTGGATAGAGCATCAGCCTGCGGACTGAAGGGTCCCAGGTTCGATTCCGGTCAAGGGCATGTACCTTGGTTGCGGGCACATCCCCAATAGGGGGTGTACAGGAGGCAGCTGATCGATGTTTCTCACCCATTGATGTTTCCAACTCTCTATTCCTCTCCCTTCGTCTCTGTAGAAAATCAATAAAATATATAAAAAACAAAAAACCCCCAGCAGAGACAAAAACTTGAAGTCACCCGGTAGAGAATAGAGACCTGCAAGAGAGGGAAAACCGGTGGGACGAAACCCCAAAGGAGAGTCCAGGACTGTGAGTTAGAACCTGGAGGATGCTCAGCCGGTGAAGCACAGAGCTGTCGTTTGGAGGTCCTAGGAATTGGTCGGCTGCCTCGGCCCCCAAAATGACACGTCCACCCAACAAGCCCAGAGCTCCGTGGAGGCAAAGACGGCACCTTTCATGGGCAGGTGCCCAGGCACCTGGTGGAAGCTGCCATCCTGGGTCATCACCTCTGGAGTTGCAGGCCCCAGGCCCCAGGAGCCATGCTGCCCACTTTGGACCCTGGAGAAGTACCCAGCACCCCAGTTCATTCCTGCCTCCTCACAAAGCTGCCTTAGGGCTGGGAGTTTCCCCAAAGGGAAGCCCAGCCCCATGTCATGTAGAAGGACCTAGGTCAGTGGTTCTCAACCTTCTGGCCCTTTAAATACAGTTCCTCATGTTGTGACCCAACCATAAAATTATTTTCGTTGCTACTTCATAACTGTAATGTTGCTACTGTTATGAATCGTAATGTAAATATCTGATATGCAGGATGGTCTTAGGCGACCCCTGTGAAAGGGTCGTTCGACCGCCAAAGGGGTCGCAACCCACAGGTTGAGAACCGCTGACCTAGATGTTTTTGGTTCCTTGGCAATGCATACGTTAGTAGCTTAAGAACTGGGCCTCAGCCCTAGCCGGCTTGGCTCAGTGGATAGAGCGTCGGCCTGTGGACTGAAGGGCCCCAGGTTCGATTCCAGCCAAGGGCACATGCCTGGGTTGCGGGCTTGACGCCCAGTGGGGGGCATGCAGGAGGCAGCTGATCAATGATTCTCTCTCATCATGGATATTTCTCTCCTTCTCCCTTCCTCTCTGAAATCAATAAATATATATTAAAAAAAAAAAAAAGAACTGGGCCTCTGATGGGAGGCCTGCTTTCAGAATCGGCTGTTATTCTGTGTGTGAACCTGAAGCAGGGACATAACCCCAGCTCCTCCTTAGGTGGAAGCAGAGCATCCAGATCCTGGTCTACACTATGCCTAGCAGGTGCTTCTATGAACATCTGAGACGGGGCTCCTCATCAGGAGTCTGGTGTGTCTGAAGCCTTTGGGGGGCTGTGGGGTGAGGTGGGAAAAGCCAGGCTGAGCTTGTGACCAATTTCACACTTTGTGGGAACCAGAAGCTCCTTCCCCAGGGGCCTCTCTAGTCCCCGCATGCATCTCTGTGTCCTTTCAAAGCTGTGGAACCATGGGCCAGATCTCAACCTCTCAAAGCCACTGTCCTCACCTGAAAATAAGCGTAATACCTGCAGGTGATGGTTAAATAATGCACCGGAAGTGCTTATCAGTGTGCCAGACATCAGGGGAGCTTGAGAAATGGCAACACTCAAATCTTGCACCCTGTTCCTTGGATCCCACTACCCTGCCTGTGGGTGTGCAGTGTGCAATGGGATGGACACGCATGACTGTTAACCTGGGCTGGGACAAAAGGGCAGGCGGGAAAGAGAGGACTCACAGGGTCCATGAACTACTCAGCTCCAGAGGACGAAGACAGGCAGTTGGCAAGGTGGAGGCAAGGGAAGAAGTGGAGAAGACAGACAAGAGGGAACAGATCTACGTCTCCAAGAGAGATGGAGTAACAGCCAGCCAGAGACTGAAGGGGAACGAGAACAGGGCTGCGGAGATGCCATGTGGAAGGAGGCCTGCCAGGCTACCGCGGAGATGGACAGTTCTGGGACACAGTGACAGACTGAGCTGATGACAGAAAGTGCTTTGGAGACCTCAGAGGAAAAATAAAAGTTTACTCCTTAATATGTCCTCCTTGTGGGTACCCTCAAGTCTAATGGGGACGGGCAAGCCCGGAGGCTTCACGGGGCCACAAACTCCGTGCCCCTGAAGAATCAGCCTCAGGCACAGGGTGCACCCATGATCCGTCCTTGTGACTTTGGGCATCGTGGCCTGAGAGTCCTCATCTCTCCGACCTTTAACACACACCACCACGGATAAGGAAGCAGTCCACAGGGTTTACCAGGGATGTGCAGCAAAACAGGAACATGTCTGTTAAAAACCCCCAAACCTGAGATGATTGAAGAGCCAGTTCCGGTACCCCATCTGACACTGTCCCGGGCACCTGGAGATGACCACGTACCCCCAGGCCCTGGAGCAGGCAGAGTAGTGTGTGTCTGCGGAGGTCTGGCATCCAGACCGAGGGTCTGCCTTTAATTCTGTCCTTCAAATTGGGCTGAACCGGGCACGTCCACAAGTGGTCAGGGGTGCGAGCGGGCACGTGCTGCCTCCCGCTGAAGTCCAAGGTTGGCTAAAGGGTGGAATCCATCAGGGGGTGGCCATTCTCAGGAAGCATGATGCGCGTGCTGGCGCCTGCTCGGGTGGAGGATGTGTAGTGGGCAGACTCCTGGGTGGACCGGCGGAGGCACTGACAGCAGAGGAGGCGGCGGAAGGTGCGGCGCATCTCAGCATCGCGGCAGGAGTACACCACAGCGTTGACCAGGGAGTTGGCCTCGGCCAAGAGTAGGAAATACTTCTCCACAGCCAGGACGTTGCAGGACTTGCAGTCCAGACCGTCCAGGAGCAGCACCACCTGGCCCGGCGTCCAACAAACCACGAACGCCCCTGCGGGATGGAGCCCAAGGTGACCCACAGCTCCAAGCTCAGGCCTGGAGGGGTGTCCAGAGCTTGGACAACAGCTGTGGTTTGCAGTGCAAGGGAGGCTTGTCTTGCCGGCTTGGCAGGGTGACGGGGCAGAATTGCTAAGAAGGGTCTCTTTACTCTGACTTATCTGTCAGAAGGGACACCTTTCTGAATTGGTGCACTGTGGCCAGAGCCCTGGGCATTTCTACATGGAGATCTGTTCTGTGGGGAAAAGACATCACTGTGGGACAGGCCAGTTACTCTGTGGGGGGAAGGAGACCATTGGAAGAGTCACTCCTTGTTCTTGTGTGTTTGTGTGTGTGTGTGTGTGGGGGGTGGGGGCGGGTATATCCTAATGGGAAGGCCTCTTGCTGCCTCCGCCACCCAGACCATCCTACATTGCAACAGCCAGTGACCATGTTACTCCCTTAAGGAATTCAGAACAAAATCTGACTCCTATCTCTGCCCTCCGAGGCTGTGCTGACCTGCTCTCCTCTCTGGAATTGCTGCCTGGTTCTGCCTGGGGCTCTCTGTCCTTCTGCCAGGAACTCTTTTCCCTTCTCTAGCAATTAGATCTCTGCTCAGATATCACCTCCTTGGAGAACATTCCCCACCCAAATCATCTCCTCCCATCACACTCCTCCATCAGGTCTTGGAGGAGTTGGGGGGAAAGTGGGGTCCCACTCACCCAGGATGATGACAACAGTCTTGACCAGGCTGAGCGTGGTCTCGCGGTAACGGGGGTGGCAGCTGACATGCTCCGCCATGCGCTGCACCCGCCGACGAACGTAGAAGAATATGCGGGTGTAGACAGCCACCATGAGCAGGAAGACGAGCAGGCTGGACAGGGCCCAGACCGCCAGGTAGGAGCGGCTGAGCAGGGGGGCCATGCGTGAGCATCTGTCCAGGGCACAGAGGCAGTGCCAGGAGTGGGCGGGCAGCAGCCCCAGGCCCAGCGCAGCCACCCACACTCCCACAATGAGCATGACGACGCGGCCACGCGGCAGGCGGCTGTGCAGGG